CAGCTCCCTTTGAAAGGGAAAACCATGCACTAAACGTCCATCAGATCCAGTGCTGCTAATGGTGAACACAGGCTAAGATGATAGAAAAAGGCGGAAACTCGACATGCTCACTCAAATGCTACTTTGGTTGCAATTCGTCAAACACCTAACCCTGACTTGACCGAAACGAGGTTTGATTAATATCAAACCCAGCGTGAAAGATAAACACGCTGGTACACTCGTAAATAGTTTTAAGTTATAATATAATCAAATTAGTTCTTAAGCAGATAACAATAATTTAAGCAGTAACATAAGCAACTAGTATAGTAAATAGTATTAAGAAAGTTATCAATCAAAGATCTAATAAAACTAAAAATAAGAAAGAATTAAAAATTATAGATTTAAACCTATAGATTTAAAATCATTAAATCAAATCAAAAGAAATAAAATAAAATCAAAATAAACAATCTAATAACAGATTAAAAAGCTAGAAAAATAACTAGCTTAATCAATTGTAAATAAAAGAGCCATGGGAAACCACGGAGAAACTCGACAAGGTAACTAACGAAGCTCATGTCAACACACACAAGTACTCACTGCTCGCACTCGAACGCCACTCGTTTAATTGAACGCGCACGTTAACGCCAGAACTAAAATCGAAAGGCGAGGAAACGTAAGCAGGAGGTGACCGTTGAGAAACCAGAGCACTGCTTCAATACTCCGGCGTCAACTCAGTTTCCTTCGCAACCAAACAATCTTGACGAAAGCAGAGACGATTGCCCACCAGTTAAGAGATTTGAATTGAACGCACAACAAAACCCTGAACTGGGCCCGAAACTGCTGATCATACAATTGAACCTCAACAAAAGGCAAGTAGCCAACGATGAGAAATCATGACCGACAGAAATCTTGACATACAGGTGGCACTGGTGCAAGAACCATATCACTGGAATAACGCGATTTCATGTATGGGCAGTGTCGCAGCCATTCACGGAGCCGAAAAAGGCGAAACGATTGAAGCTGCGATACTCTACAATCCGCACAAGGTCACTGCTACCAAGATTTCTAACCTGTGTGACTCCCACTGTGTTTGCGCACAAGTGGTCGGAGCCTTTGGCGAAATTTATTTCATAAGCATCTACTGCCAGTTCAGCCACAGCAGGAAGACCTATCTTAACAAACTAGCTGAGACTCTGAAGAAATTGAAAGGCAAAAGAGTCTTAGTTGGTATGGATGCAAATGCCAAGTCAAAGATCTGGTCTAACACACAGGAAAAGAATGGGACAGTCATTGAAGAATTCATAGACCAATACGGGCTAATAGTGGCCAACAGGAGGGACCAACTTCCAACGTGCCGTGGCACCAGGGGTGAGACGGATATCGATGTAACTTTACATACGTCAAATCTGTCAAACCTCTTGGCTAGCTGGGCGGTGAAAGAATGGACCACCAGTAACCACAGGCCCATAGTGATCGTACTGGATTTTGCCTCACAACCAGCCAGACTCATACGAACAGGAGAAACATTAGAACCAAGGTTCAATACGAGAAAAGCTGATTGGGGGAAATTCGGGAGACTTTATAAATTCGAGAAAGAGGACCTATTCAACCTCCCTTTAGAAACATCTGAAGACATTGAAACATAGGTTTCTAAATTTGAAGAGGTTCTAATAAGGGCAGCAAAGGACTCTATTCCATCAAAAATGAGAAGAACGCGCTCTCAACCCTGGTGGAATCCTGACTTGCGAAGTAAGAAGTGAGCGATACAAGGACAACGCAAAATCGTCGCTCTGAAATACAAGGAAGGACCGAATAGAAAACAAAGGAAAGCCCTCCAGAGATTGCTTGGAAAAATTGAGACAAATGAATTCCGACTATGCAAGGGCTATTAAAAGAGCCAAAAACAACAGCTGGCGAGATTTCTGCACCATTGAAAGCGAAAACAATGCTTGGGCGTATCCATACAAACGAGCATCCAAAAAAGTCAAAATCTCAAAAGCGATGTGCACGGTTAACCGTAATGGTTCAGTCACAAAAGCCTGGAAGGAAACAAGCATGGCTCTACTAGAAGGACTAATGCCTGATGACAACCCAAGCTGCGAAAACGATATACATACAAAGATTCGCAGAGATATGCGGGAGGTTCCAGTAACCGGCGACGCAACGCCATTCCTAATAAGGAAAGTTGAAATGGCCCTTAAAGCGAATAAGGCAGGGAAATCACCAGGCAAAGATAAAATAGAGTCAGAAATGCTTGTAAACGCTAGACCATTACACCAAGAACTGACGCAACTTTTCAACGCCTGCTTAAAATGCGGAGTGTTCCCCAGAATATAGAAAAGTGGAATGCTAATCACGTTGCTCAAAGGGGTTGAAAAACCCGAGAACGAGATTAAATCATATAGACCCGTATGTCTACTCCCCATAGCTGGGAAGACACTCGAGAGGCTTGTGATTCAAAGAATATCCAACATTCTAAACAGCTCGGACTGGTCTTCGGAGGATCAATTTAGCTTTAAGGCAAATAGATCCACAGAGGATGCCATCAGAAGACTATATGAAATAGAAGAAGAGGCAGAATCTGATCCGTCGACAAAGTACGTAGCCACTATTCCACTGGACGTCTCAGGAGCATTCGATACCTTATGGTGGCCAAGCCTGCTCTCCTAATTGAAAGAAAGAAACTGCCCGAGAAACATCTATAAGCTCCTCCAGAGTTACTTCAGTGATCGAGAAGTGGGCATATATGCCCACTTCGAAGAAACACTGAAAACAGTAACGAAGGGGTGCCCTCAGGGTTCAGTATTTGGACCGGTAGGTTGAAACGTCATTTTTGACAAACCACTCCGGGCAATTAGGGACGCAGGATACGAAGTACTAGCCTACGCAGACGATGTGCTTCCCATCATTAAGGCAAAGACACGCATTGATTTTGAAAGACAAGCCCAAGAAATCATTAATATAATGACGGACTGGTGCAAGTCTGACAAAATGAAATTAGCAGTACAAAAGTCAGCACTAATATGGCTAAGAGGCCAACTAAGTGAGAATAGGAACCCTACAGTCAAAATTGGGAAAGACAACATTAGAACGCACAAAACAGTCAAGTACCTAGGAATAACGATCTTGAAGGGCTTCTAATTGGAAGAACATATTAGAAACGTAGTTCAAGACTGTAATAACACCTATTTCGAGCTAAGTAAAGTAGCAAAAGCGAACTGGGGCCTAAAATTCAACTCCTTGAAAAAGATATATAATGGCTTCCTACTATCGAAAATTACATATGCCGCTGCGGGCTGGTGGCAAAGGACCAACATCAAACAGCAATCTGCATTAGAAAGATTGCAGCGATCAGTTCTTTGCAAGACACTCAAAGCCTACAAATCGATCTCTCATGAAGCGGCGCACGTGCTTGCAGCCTCCCGACCAATAGCCCTCGAGCTTGACGCGAGAGTTGCAAAGTACTGCGTCAGGAAAGGGAAATCGATTAAAATGCACGGCATCCGAATAAAATCGGAAGAACTTCGATCGGGCAGACTAAAAATCTCAAAGGCCATACAACTCATCAATGATGAAGTCGAAATGGTATGGCAGGAGAGATGGCAGTCAGCCAAAAATGGCAGGAGAACTTACTGGTACTTCCCAGTAATCAAGGACAGATTAAAGAAGAGGTGGCTAAATCCCAATCATTACACAGTACAGTTTATGACTGGACACGGTGCTTTTAAGTCATACCTTCATAAAAGAGGATTATGCGAAGACCAACTGTGTAGTTGTGGAGAAATAGAAAGCGAAAGTCATATTCTCTTTAACTGCGAAGATGTAAGGGAACTAAGGAAGCCATTAATAGAGGCCGTTGAAGAGGAAGGTCATACATGGCCTTGCCCGGAAACGGCCCTAGTATCTAGCAAGAAAATCTACAAAGTCTTTGAAGACTTTGCTAGAAAAGTCATAGAGCCCAGGGAGGGAGCACCTATAACAAAGAGAAAGCGCAGAAAAATAGTTACTAACTATGGTAGAAAGACGCCGCCTCTTACAAGGTCTCTAACCAAAGGACAAAAACTCGCACGATAACCTAATTTTTGAACCCAGACAAACCCACAAAGCTTGAAATTCAAACGATAATTTTTGAACATCAACTTCAGAACTAAACTCTGAAGGTCGACAATTTGAACGCGAATTACCCCATTTAACCCAACGACGGAGTTTTGAACCGAATGCGTGGCATGACCGGCAAGAATAATGAAAACTGCCTGGGGAGTCGCCTTGTCGGCTAGACGAGACCCCGCCCTGACATAACAGTCAAAAACTAAATCGAAAGAGCAAATATCAGTATCAGCCCAGTCATAAAAACCATTCTTTAGAAAGCGAGATTTGACTTTGGGGACAAAAACGGGGTAACAACAACCTTTCGAATGACGGATATCCACCAGCGTGAGCGGGGATGACCGAAACGCAATGGGAAGGCGTGCCTCGGTACGTCGAAGCGATGGACCTGTGAGTCGTAGGAGAAATCCCTTAATACAGGTACGCAGGGTGGGATGTTTTTCGAACGCGAGCCCAGGAGGGGAGGCTTAGTTGGTTGATCGTCTTAGGAATCTTCCTCTGGCTGTGCTGGCTGAGTCTCTCTTCTGACAGTAGACGTTGGGGCAACTAGAGTCCCGTCGCGCCCAAACCGAGGGTCAAGCCTTTAGTTCCGCTCTCCTTGAGCGTCGAACCGCGAAAAGATCGGTACTCCTTTCGAGGAGGTCGCCGCCTTAGATCAAAAAAGTTCCGACTCGCTGAGTGCGTCAGGGATGCCGTAGCAAACTTGACTTCCGGATCTCCAATGTATTTGAAAGCGAAAGAGTGAAAGACAGTGGGCTATGCCAACCTATTGGCGCCCAGAGAGAGGGGTGGTAATGTTTGATTACGCTGCGCCACCCTCAAAGCGGAAAAGTGTGAACGACACACATACACTAACTGTATAATAATAATATTTATGGTACATAAAAATATATTGCTGTAAAACAATATCTTACCTGTAAATAACTGCTACAACGACCTATGCAAGCAAAACTTGGAATAGGTTTTGGAATACAGCCTGTATATTGCAAAACATGTATAACAGGTGTTAATTGGCATTCCTCAAGTCCTATTATAGCTGTTGTAATTTTTGAAAAGGATGATATCCACACCAAAATACCTGTGCATTGATTATATGTAAATTTTAAAATACCAGCGAAATAAATGTATAGTACAAAGCAAACAGACAAAGGTATTACTATTATTTATATATTATATTACGGTTAGGTGAAGAGTTATTTTAGCAAGTCGAGCCTTAGTCACTTAGCAGAAAAAAGATTTCATTTATTGACATCGATACTAAATTTAAAAATAATTCGAACTCAGAACTTCGCCGGTGGCGAATTAATTTTCGATCAAAGTATGATTATTGCAACTACCCATGCGCTTTGGCATGTCAGCTCAAAGTTGTAGTGCCACTGTCTATACCGTACTCATAATAAAGATATACTGTCAATGCTACTTTGAAAAAGTGAGTTATCTTTTCCATACAAATTAGAATTTTTTGTTCGTGCTAATTTAAAAAATAAACATTCTAAAATTATATTGTACAGATTGTTTAAGTTAAAATAAAAGTACTAGATTATTCGATCTTATGAGCTCACTCCGAAACATCCGTCAAAACTTAATCATTGTCACACATTTAGTTCGCTATGGTTAGCGAGATTCGAAATGAGATTTCAAAAGCTCCCACAAAAATGTCTAATTTATAGAACATTAACATCTTTAAACGTCAAATAGATCGAACTCAGCGAATTTGAATAATCTAAAAATTAAGGTACCCGACCCTTGATTTTCTGATTGTTCGGCAATTAATGTATATCGAACAGTCAATGTGTAAAATAACAACTCGACTCTTTGGCAGTTGATTCGCGACATGCGACAGCTGATAATTACGAAGTTGAGATACTTAATATTTTTGTATCAATATATATCTTTTATATTGACTTTCCTTTAAATTATAACATATCGAGCGATATTACTGAATTTGTGAATTTTATACATTAGAGAAAAAATACGAGTCTACGAAAAAATATTGTCTTACAAGGGGGGAAAATAAAACTTCCACATGAACATAATATGAGTTTCATTTTATCATTGTGTAAAAAATAGTTTTTTCTCTATCCCCGGGTGAACGTGCGCTGATAATTCAGTCAGAAAACTCGAAAATTACCTATTATATACTTTCCAATTGACATCGAAATGCGCTGCCATGTTTTTACTTTCTCCCCATATTCTAATAGTTTTAGCGCCCTCACGCGCAGTTGATATCGTGGTTCCAATTTGCAGGTTATATTTGTAATTTTCTTTGTCCACTGCAAATTGTTCAATGACGCGCGCTTAGGTGTTGTCGATGCTCGCTCAATATTTGTAACACGAGTGTAGCGAGTGCTACTGGTTAGGATGGGTATAAAATGTACATGATTAGCAGATTATGCATAATATTTCTCAATTTTTAGCACATTAATTTTAGTTTTGAAAAGTGATCGATGTTTCTTTATACAAACTATTTATTAACTATCTTAAAACTATGTTTCATATTTTTTATAAGAATAAAAATTGTTTATAATGTTACCGTTGAAATTGCAATTTTCATATTTAATACAAAAATTTTTGAGCCAATTAATAATGTCTGTATTAATTTCTATGTTTTCAATAACGATTTCTTGACTCCGGTCATTTTCATTTCGAGAGTGTGTTGAATTTACTTTCATTTTCTTGACAGTGGACGAGCTGGATTGCATTTATGTGCATTTTCATGCCCTGGCTGTTGACACCGGAAGCATATGTCACCGTTGTTTGCGGCTTGTGGGCGGTATGTACATTCATCCTTTGGTACTCAATGTATTTGGTACCAAATACATTGGTAACATTTTACCTGACGGTTCCCGCCGCTTTGGCTGACAGCGGGTTACAAGCTGTCAATTGGGCACTGCCGCTGGGCATTGATTACAGAAATCTGCAAGGATGGGACAAGCGGAGCTGAAAACGTGACGTGCGCATTACCTACAACTCACCTCACCTAGGGTACTGGCGCAATTTTTGATGGAGCCAAAACGCTCATCGCATTCGCAGCCAGTCCCTTTTAGATCCTGACGAGTCTAATTCATCAGTCTCTCTAGACGATTTCTGCTTCTTCGCTGCTCCTACTTTCCTTTTTCCACGGTTTGATGTCTGTTCCTTAAAAACCATTGACAGCCGGGACACTTGCTACCGGAACCTTCGTCTTCTTTGACGTGTTCCTCTTGTAGGCGGCGTCCTGAACTAACATGTTCGTTTTTCTGTCGTGATGGTGGACGCCACTTTCATTCTCGTTCACAGCGACACTCAAATTTCTCACCTCAATACAACCCAACGCAGGTCCTCGATATTCTTATTATCCAAGTAATTTCGGTACGTAGGATGCAAGCCAAGCATCATCAATATGATTTGTTGATGCTTTTAGTCGCATCCGGCAAACGATACATAGGGAAGCAGTCGGCAATCGGCTCATCCTCTACTTAGTGCGTCGGCGCAGGTTATCATATATATCTTTGTGGTCTCAAATTGCTGCCAAAAGGCCTCTTCTAACTCCACGGAGTCCACCAATTCACTATCATTATTGATTATTACACATACGCAAGATTGGAGAACACCGTCTTCAATACTGTAAAGACAAATACTGTAAATACTCCCTCTAGGAAGTCATAAAAATGTATGCACTTCCTCAAGTTTCATAGAAAGTGCTTGGTAATGGATCTAAAAATATAAAACCGAAACACTTCTGCTAGTTTGCCAATCAGCCAATCCTGGTGACTGCTAGTTGAATGGGCTCTCGGACTTCGACTATATTTAGCCATGCGTCGTCTCACCGAGCTATCTTGCAGCTAAACTGCCTTATGACGGTGTACGCATGGGCGCTATTATGCACTCATTTACTCATACACTTATTACAATAATAACAACACTTAATCTTGCTCTTTTCTAGTTTTTTTAATGGAAGTGGCGCCTTACAATCCCTACAAGGATGACATGTAAAGTGAGATTTATTTTTATAATAAATGTTTGCTTACATTTCTATTTATTGAATTATTTACGCAGAGATTCGAAAAAGAAGAATGCTTCGGCTACTGTACAACTTGTCGGGCATGCACTTTGCGACGTTCGCGCGCGAGAGAGCTTGGATCGGGAAGAAACAGAAAATCAAGAGTAAGACTAAATCTACGATTACAAATGATAAAATCGTCAATTTTTTTAATTACTAAAAAAAGAAAATTACAATTTTTTTAAAGAGAAAAAATAATAATAATAAAAGAATACAATAAAATCTTTCGTGGGCGGGTCTTGACCGCACATTCGCCCGGGGCAAAGTATCGTTCACGAAGACAACCACTAAAAATCGGCATGGGGTGGTGAGCCTTCTTGGCAAATTCGGACAATTAAAGGTTTCTCAGCGGTTGCATTACTGCTCATCATGAAACACCAGATCTAGAGAGTCTGCGACATTGCGGTCCTCATAAACTCATTTTTCCATTCTGTACCGGGTTTGAGCATGGCAGTCTTTTTTCTGATAGTTGGATTGTAAAATGGATTTTTCTTCAACAAAATACTTCTTCAGGGATCATATAAATCTCTAATATTTGTTTTTGTAAGTCTTACTACAATGTTTTTCAGAAAATATAATTGTTTTTCCCTTAACTTCCATCTTCTTTTTATCTGGCTGTTTAATAATTTTCTCTGTTATAATTCTTGCTGTTTTATGAATTTTTTTCATTATTACTTTATTGACTGACGAAATAATGGTCTCTATATATTTCATCATTATTTTTACATAGAAATTGTTCTGATATTACTGGAGGTGGAACCGTAAAATCTATTTTTTTTATCTGATCCTCGGTTACTGTAGTAAGCTCCATTCTTTTAGAAAGTTGAGATTCATCTTCTACTTTTGTCCTTTTTTTAATTCCTTTTTTTATCACTTCACATTTAGCTGCATTTTTACTAATACGTTTAGTTCAATCTTCTGCTATTCTTTTTTTTAACGTTTCTTGGAAGCGTTAATTTGCTTAGATCTCTCCGATAAATCGATCCGTTCGCGATTCGGTACGACACGATGCTAGTATGAACGACTAAGGAAAGGTACCCAACCCAAACTCACCGATTTTGATACATATTGTAGAATATCAAAAAATAAGAGACACGTATTTTTTCTTATCGGCTAATTTTCACTTTCAAGAGGTAAAAACCTCCCCTAAATTTAACCCCTTAAGAAACCCCTAAAATTAAATTATAAAAGCGTTTTTTTTAATAACTCGGCTTAAAATTAATATTTGTCAGTGAAACAAATTGGAGGTTATTTCTTACAAAAGGAGTAAGTATTTCATGGTGATTTGAAGCGTAAGGGTAGCATCCCCTTTTTTTTAGGGGTGGAAAACATATATTTTTTGGCATAATTTTATAATAAAAAAGTTTAAACCGACTGAAAAGAATTGGAAAAATTTTTAAACATCCATAATAACAAAATTAAGTTTTTTGGTTTTTTCATAGATAATACCCCTAAGGGAGGGTATTATCTATGAAACACAAAATAACTATAAGTATACTTCAATCCATGAGATTTTGTAGAAGGTTTGTATATAGGGGTTTTCGAGATCGCTCTTTACAAATCTGATATCAGATTTTAAAAATTTAAAATGGCGGAACCAATGTGGTGGACAAAAATGTCGAAAAAAAATTTTAACATTCATAATAACTTGTTTACAAATGTGTGATCTTTGTAGCCTGTACATGTGAATTGACGGTTGCAATCACGACGCTCTCAGGAAGCTCGATTATGGTCCGCTTAGCAAAAACATAGATGATACACATAGTGCACATAGGTCACTTTGTGCAAAAATCTTTTGTCAAAGCGGCGGACAGTAATTGTCTTCCTCAACAAAGAATGGAGACTTCTCAAACAAACAATTCGTTGTTTTGGGAGAGGATGTCGTAAACTTCTCTTTCCTGTACGGGCATATGCAAATGTAAATGTTGAAATACAAAATGCGTCACCGATTGCCGTCGACATGCAACTAATGCTAGACGACCCGAAGTGAATGCAATGTATATTTGAACGAAGACTTGCAATCACAAATGCAGATG